TTATTTTATCTAAACACTTATTTATAGATTTAGTCTGTACTGTCACTTCTCCTTTCCGTTTCCCTACCAGAATTCAAATCATGTTAAGATGATGTTTTTAAAGATTGTAAGAAAGATCGACTTTCTGCCTTTCGACGCCACGTTACTGGGTTTCGCCAGCTTTGATAAGATTACAATTCTTTGCCTTTTCGTTACTGCATCAAACATTCAATTGTTACACTGGTGAGAAGCTCTGAGCCAACTTAGAATTTGAGATCTATTGTGTAATCTTTGACTATTAGGCTTAGTTTAATTCTTGAATTTGGCTTTTACTTTAAATTACTATATCGCAACAAGTTGCGGTTGATTCAAGTTCTGATGTAATAGAAAAAGTTGGTTTTTAATCCTTCATAAAACTTTGCAGTTCTTTTCAGACACAGCTATAGTTCGCTCTCTGTTAGAAGTATGGACTTAAATTATGCTACTAAGGAATACCAAATTCTATAACTTAAATGACGCATGAAAATTATATATCACGTGGGAATAATTTCTTTTTCATGAGTTCAGTGGCAAACATTTCTATCGATATCGTCATCTGAATTCATAAAAAGAGTTACTTGCTTGTAGGCAGATTGCTTAGCATTAAGAGAGCAAGACATCAGGGTAAACTTGATTATACGTGATTTTCGATGTTTTGAATTTCGAAAAAAAATATTGCAACATCTTTATCCTTATGTTATTACCGGATATTTCATTTCGAGATGTATGATAAAATGACTGCCTATACAAAAAGGCGCGATAAAGTGATCGCTGCTTGTCGTTCACTCGGCTAGCTTAAATCCTCCATTTTTAATAATTACTATCGCTAGGAAAAATAGTTTAACGCATAGTTTCGTATTGTAGATTTGTCTTAAAAATTGGTCTGCATTTAATTCTTAAGTCTACTCATGAAGTTCGTTTTATTAAGGAAAGCAGAATCAAATTTTTGGAAGCATTCAGTATAGGATAGTGTATTAACTCTTTCGCATCGAGAGACGACCAAATCTGTTTTCAACAAACGTCGAAAACGCCCGTGTTTAAGAATTTGTCTTGGAATAGTTTTCCTTTCTCCCTGCTAGTTCATCCATTGTGTGCAGTTTCACATTAGGGACGGATTGCACCTCGAACGTCATAGCTTCGTATTTCCCTTTATTTGCTTCAAAAGAATGATTGACGTGTCTTTTTAACAACTCGCGAAACCAATGAGCTATACACTAACGTGGAGGGGAAAGAACTAGGTAGAAAATAAACGAGGCGTTGGGGCGGTTTGTCGTTGCCTGAATGAACGGGCGTTACGGGCGACTTCGATGCGAAAGAGTTAAAAAGCAATCATTTGGCTTAGATTTATTAAAAGATAGTTTTCTGCCCAAATTATATTCCTTGTGTTGCTATCCATTGTCAGTGGTGACAACATAATATTTATGTTGAAATATTATTAATAGCTGCGATTATTGCTTGATTTTTATATAAACTTATTTTTCATAGTTTCGCGACGTTCTTTAACATGAGAACTCTCAACCTGTTAAAAAATTAGATTTTTCCCGATGTAGAAATAGAAGTAGATCACTAACTTCACTGAACCAAAAGAAACGCAGGATCATGATGTTATTGCTACTGGAAGTTTAGTATGGGAGCCAAGTAACGTTTTAGTTATAAATTTCTTATGAAACAAAACCTTTACAAAGCTGGCTATATAGGAAGAAACATCATCTTACGTAATAACAGTTCAATTTCGAAAGTTGATTACTCTGTTGCAATGCTCATATTACAAAGCATAAATTTTAGCAAATGAGCGCAGCATATCTCTAACAGATCTTTCAACAAAACCAAAATTTCTCGATTGAATATACCCTAATACAAATATTGCAGTTCTCAAATGATTAAATTTCCAAACAAGACTGGAATTTATTGAATCGAAAACAAAATTTCCGTGATCCAAATTTTGTAATTATATATTGATATTCCTATGCAAAGGCTTCGCCGATCTACGAAATGTTCCGCGGTCTTTCCTTACCCAATTCGCAAGTATTTTAACAGTTTTCTACATGTTTCCTTTCGCCTTTAAAGTACTTACGCAGCGATCCATTAAGCCTAGGATTTCAGCCCGAAAGAATTTATAACTTTATTCTGTTCTTGATGACATCCTTCAAATCCTTGTTGTCATTCTAATGTGAATTCCGCAAATTCTGCTTCAGCTTTCGAAACAAAGCAAGGTCCGTGGAAACGATAGATGCCAGAGAAGCTAAACAGCAGTCTGGGAAATCTGAACTTTGTGTGCTAGTGTGTTGTCATGGAAACGCAGCTCTTTTCTACTGTGTTTGCCGTGGCGTTTTATCATTATGGATTGTCATAACTGAGTCAACGGATTATCAAAATAAAAGCCTATTCTCCTGATATTATATAACATACAATTCAATAAGCAATCAGCCTTCTTCGTGCCTAAAAAAGCTGCCCAAATTCTTTTAGGGAAATTTCTAGGATTAGAATATGTGGAGTCGGAAAAAACTGCTTTTTAACATGTTTTTTAGCGGACTACAGCGGTGAAAACATACTTCATCTCTTGTCACTGAGCATGAATAAATTTTTATCAGCGCCTATCATGGGGAATTTCGATAATAAACAACCAGAAAATCTTTCATATTTGGTGTCAACATTCTCATCACCCGTCTGGCGTATACACTCGACTTTCCTAAGTTTTCACCCAAAACGATTTCCACGAATCCAAATCTGGCGCTACTCTTGTAGAAAATGAGAAACTGACAATTGTATGCTTTCCAACCCATGTTCTTTGAATTTAAAAAGCATTTTTAGAGGTCACGCGCCCACACTGCAGACTGTCCAAAGATCATTTTCGATTGACATTCTCTCCTATATAAAAATGGGAGAAAACAATGGCCGAAAAGGGTTTTATGATAATATATTTTTCTTTTAACCGCGCAAATCTTAGGCACACAGCTACGAAGAGCTTTGATGTATCATTAGGTTTGCTCCATGGCCGATGGCTCTGAAGAAATAAGCGCAACGTGCCGCATAAAAATAATTTTTATAACAAACACGAGATGAAAAACGCGTGTAAACGAGCTGTCGGTATCCTTACAGTATTACTGGGAGTTGCTTTTAACAGCAGTAGGTAATTATCTTACGGAATACATAAACATTCTTAAATTATCTGTTAAAAATGAAATACCCAATCATAAAAATGAATGAAATCGGCGGCCGTTAATCTGCTTCACTCCAACGCCTATCGAAATACAACAGTAAACACAAGAAAGCAGCATATCAACGAAATCATTAAGAAAGAGAGGGAAGTCCCCACCAGCTTCAGTGCAAACTTTGAATATTGATTTAATTAACGCAAACAAATGACATATTCTCCACATAAGCTGCTTGAAAATAAAGGTAAATTCTTAATACTTTGTATATTTCTGTTTATTGTATAATGATTATTTTTCTTCTCTTTCCTGTGTTAGAGTAAACGTGATTTTGAGTTAATCTTGGATGTACCCTCGGTATTATCTTTGATAATTGGGAGTTGATTGTACTTAATGTTACTAATAGTTTTCAAGAAGGGAAAAAAAAAGATTCCCGAAGCTAAAATTAACGAAAATTTTTTTATGATAACAATGACTGAAGAAATTCTTATCATTTTATTGGTTATATCAATGGCATGATCAGAGTCGTAGCTAGGGCTTTCAGCGCCCAGGGACAACTGAAGATTTCGAGCCCCCTACTGCTTGCCAAGGATGGAAAACATTTAATTCTAAAATGTCGTAACATCAGTTTGGCGCCCCTTGGATTCTGCGCCAGGGGACAGATGCCCCCCTTGACCCCTCTAGCTACGCCCCTGGGCATGATGTAATAACTACTTCATTAAAGAAAGTTCAGGTACTACTTAGACGGTTGCGTTTTGGCGATTTACGTTGGTATAAAATACTAAAGTAAGGTTATTATTACTTTCATATAGCAAAGAATAGAATAAAAACACCGCTATAAAAACATTATGCCCTGGAGTACTACAGTAGTTGCTGAGGACACTAATACTACACTGGGGAACTGTATACCCCCATAGAGTAAAAAATATTTTAATTAGGTTTGTATTATATATATTCACTCTTTCATTAATAATGACACTTAAATACAATATTGACTATTACTATGATAAGAGTTTTCTGAACAACTATGAGTTTCATTTGCATTTTGGGGATAAACTAATTTTATGTGTGTTGCAAACAAATTCTTTACATCTCTCACACTTTACTGTAGTTTTTCTGTCATTTTTTCTAGGACAAACACTGCAACGTCCTGCTTTCTTTTCACTGTTCACCTGTGTAGCTTGTTGATTGCCATTTTAATTGTCCTTCTGGGTACTTTCAATTCCCAATACTTCATTTATCACCTGTCGAACTTTTGTTTGTAATGTCGGTTTCACTGATCTTATTTCAATCCATGGTATAGTTCACGTCCTAGTTGCAAAAGAAAAGACTTTCTTGGTATGGTTTGCTCTCCTTTTACAGCCATATTGGGTATTAAAAATAATAGCAGCATTAACCGCAGCTATATTCATAAGCCCATAGAACACACATAGAGGCCATCTTCTAGCCTTTCTTGAGCAGCTGTATGCAGTGCATAGCTGATCCAGAGTATCCACACCTCCTTTAGTTTTATTGTAAAAATCAATTATTTCAGGTTTTCTCGTGTCGGATATAACATCTTTCCCTTGATGCATCGTAGATAGGAGTAGCACCATTTTATTTCTCTTGTAATAAAATGATGTCATAGTCTTCTTATCATCAAAAATAAACAGGGAAGTCCCTAACTCTCTACCACTGATCATGGTCATTTCTGGTGGAATCTGCCTTTTATTTCTTCTCAAAAGTACCCACCATTGCCAGGTTATGGTCATCAAGTAGCGAGGATGCAAGTAACATAGATGTAAACCAATTATCTTTGTTGACATTTCGGTTTGTGCCGTGTATGGGCTTTTACAATTCTTTCACAAAATAGTCTGCCAAAGGAATTTCACCATTATGTGTTGCCTTTCCAACGTAGGGTATCATATTAACAGCATAAAATGTTTTACTGTCACATAGCACTAGTTTGATGCCGTATTTGGCTGGCTTATTTGGTATATACATTCTAAATGGGAATCGTCCACGAAAGGCTAATAGCTGTTCATCAATTGTACAACATGTTGATGGAGTATACATTTCTTGGCAGTTAGACGCAAACATATCAGTAATTTCTCTAATTGCAGCAAATGGATCGCTGACTTTCCTGACATCCCTTGTGCTTTTATCATCAAAGCGAATACAGTTTGTAAGAAACCGAAAACGTTCTTTACTCATTGCGACACGATATAAAGGTTTACCATAGAAATTGTTCCACATGTCCTCCACAAATAAGTGATTATCTTTGAGAGCTGCACTGGTAATCAAAATTCCAAAATGTGCATTCATTTCTTCTACACATGTATCCCCTGTGAAAGACTGGACACTAGAATATTTTTTCCTTTGACGAGCAATTTCATCATTTGTATTTTTTACCATAATCGCCATCATATCGCAATTCATAAAGAGATTCCAACATTGTCTTGACAGCTTTGACAGTGACAGCTTTTGCTGTTCGCTTTGGACCAGGCATACACATCACTATATTCCTTTTTGGAGTTTTTCCTCTTGGAGGAGGTTCTGATTGCCATTTATGTCCATTTTTACCCATAAGAATTTTTTGTTTCGGAGTCCTAATTGTTCCATGTTGAGTAAACCGTAAATTTTCACTTTTACGCCTTTTTGTTGAAGCTTGTTCATTTTCATTACAACCAGCTCTTTTCCTTTTTAGGGTAACATTACTATCATTTTCACATGTAGATTCAATTTCAATTATTTCACTTTCCGTATCAGGTTGAACTTCCACCTCATCATCAGCAACGTCATCCTCTTTGAGACAATTGACATCACTACATTCTTCCTCAAATATGTCATCATTGCTTTCTGATTCGTCATCATTCATAAGAATATTTATAATTTCTTCTGAAGATATCGATTCTCGTGACATTCTGGAGGGCTGTAAAGGAAAACGAATGCATTTAGTAAGATAATCTTATCAGGTTCAATGTTCCGTCTAACCTTCTTCGGGAACATGCAAGGACCTGACTCGGAACAGAGAGCTTACTAAAGCTATGTTCAACAATTGTGGGAAGTAGACAGGATACACAAGAAGGGTATACAAAACCCTTTATTTTTCTCTATTTACAATAACTTCCGTAGTTCGGAATACACAGACCCGCTACTTGGGGTCTAACGTAAAAATATAAAAATAGAACTAAACTCTAATTTAACTTTAAAATAATAAACGTGGAAGATTGGCCTTATATTAACAGGAAGCCGTATGTAGTACAGAGAACTGTGAACACTACAATACGTTTTAAAAATTATCAAGAGGATTAAAACCTCTGGCCTGGACGGCAACCAGCAACTGAGTCAAACTTCTAAGGTAAGCGGCCTGCTTCGACTAACTACTTCCTCACTTTCGCTTGGCAAAAAGCCACAACTTAAATACTTGGCGTTCGCCAGACAAACTTTGCATAAAATACTTTAACGCTTATAATTCTGGCCGGAAGTAGAAAATAAGAAGTGATAGTAAAGATTTAAAATAAAATAAACGTTAGTAAAACTTAAGATCCTTACAATCTGAATAAATTAATTAGTAAAAGACCAATATTTAAATATAAGATAATATTACATAACTCACAATGAGCATAAAATATATAAACTTTCAGTTCTGAATGATAAAACGCAAAAAAATATACTATATTATACTTACATGAATACTACACTGGGGAATAGAGTGCCCGTTGACTGCGGTTATTCAGAAACACAACCATCTAAAACAAGTTCAAACCTGCAACTGAATAGATGTTTGTGAGTTAGGAGAATAACTGCAACCACAATCAGACAACTGCTGCCATTTCCTGAAAATCAGAAAAACTAAATGATCTGGGGAATTTACTACCCCAGTATAGTATTCCAGGGTTAATCGTGGATGTCCCTCGGTATTATCCTTGATAATTGGGAGTTGATTGTATTTAATGTTACTAATAGTTTTCAAGAAAAAAAAAAAAAAAAAAAAAGATTCCCGAAGCTAAAATTAACAAACATTTTTTGTGATTAACAATGACTGAAGAAATTCTTATCATTTTATTGGTTATATCAATGGCATGATGTAATGACTACTTCATTAAAGAAAGTTCGAGTACTACTTTGGTAGACGGTTGCACGGATTTTTGGCGATTTACGTTGGCGCAATTGTTGGCGCGATTTTTACAATCGCCAGCTATTTTGAAAAACGCTGTTTTTACGCATAGTAAAGTATTCGAAACTTTAAAAAAAAAATCGTTAAAAGTAATGGATTAATTTTTTGTTGAAAATATCGTTTTTTTAAGATGGCAGACAAGTGTAAATAAATATTACTATGAGTATAAAATACTAAAGTAAGGTTATTATTACTTTCATATAGCAAAGAAGAGAATAAAAACACCGCTATAAAAATATTGTGTCAACGTTTAATTAGATTAAAATATTACTGAAATTGAATATCGAATTAATGACCAACATTTATACCAACATTTAAAAGAATTAGAATATTATTAAATTCAAATACTTTAAAATACGTTATATAGAATATAATTAACATTAAAACATATGTGACAATAATTATCTCAGTAAATTTTGAAAATAGTGTATTAATTTTTTTAACAAAAATTAAAGTATACAATTATAAAATAGAAGAAAATATGTAATTACATTTTTTTTGAGTCATTTAACCTGTTGTTTATTGATAAGTATCGCAAAAAAACCTTTTTATTTCTGGATAATGCCCTTTATAACTGTGGGTGCGCCATGCACCTCCCAATTTTGTGCAGATTGCATCTTCTTAAAGGACAAAAATTAGACATGTAAACTCTGTGGCAAGGCGATACAAGCCTCTGGAAGCAGAAGGAAAGACAGAAGAGGGAGAGGTTTTGATACTCCTGTTATTATTCTAGCATACAGCGGGGAATACCTATCCTGCTTTCTCCATATTCCTGAGTGAATCCCGAATTGTGCCTGACGTCTGAGAAAGTCCGTAAATAGTATTCTCCAGATGAGGTATAAGCTGAGATGGGGAGGGAGAGTTGCGACACAATTAAGCTTTTATACCGCATACCATTTCAAATCACATGGCAGTTTAATGTACAGGTGTTGGGTTCAGACCTCATTGATATATGCGCAATATAGATCCTGGTGGTATTGCAATACAATCCCAGGATCATGATTCTCCACCACCAGGATTTGGCGATTGTAATCCCCAGTCGCCCATTAAAAGGGGGATCATATAAGGTATTTCTCCCGCCTTCTTAGCATGCCTTCGTGGTGTAATGGTCAACACGCTGGGCGCGTATACGAGAGGTCTATGGTTTGAGTCCCGGAGAGGGCATTGCTCATTTTTCATCCCTCCTGCTTTCAAAAAAATACGTAATGTCTCTACAGCTGTACATAAATATGTGTGATCAACATGTTATTGTAAAATATGTGACATGTGAAATCTCTGATAAATAATTTTTATTGGATTATAGTAATAAACAATTGATCAGCATCCGCAAACAATGAATGTGTGCATCGAATTTAACTCATTGTAGCACCGTACCGGTTTTCTGCAGAACCTACATAAAAATAAATAAATAAATAAGTAAACAATAAGTATAACACATCTTAGATGCGTATTTCTGTGACTTTCCTTTACACCATGTGTAACAGTTTGAATTATGTATTGTTAATTTATTTCAGAATATATTTCAAAATGTTTCATGATGGTTATCATTAGAAGTAATCTAACTTCTAGTGAATATCAAATTTTAATTGATGTTTTAAACCTTAACAATTATCCTGCAAGATAGGATACAAAATCATACTAATTATTTCATTTAGCAAAATACTTTATCAACCTTTACGAAGAAAGATGGAGTTTGTTTACATCCGTTTGACATATGAAGGAAGTCTCCACTTCTGACACGATTTAAAGACTTAACAAAAACCTTTAAACTCAGGCTCTTTTTTTTTTTTTTTTTTTTTTTTTTTCTCGAGCAGACTTCCTTCAATCATTTTAAGAAGAACTTTCCGCCTTTGTCTACGGACGTCATAAGTTGTTTGTTACTAAAACATCTTACACAGAAAGGTTTGTTAAAAACATAGACGTACAGTGAAACCTCATTTTCCCGAGTTAAAAGTGATGAAATAATTTTAGATAATACAAGTGAAATATAAACAATGAAAAGTAGAAAAAAATATATATCATTTTTTATCAACCTGTTATCATACATTTACATATTTATATTGAATAAAATAATCAGTGATCTTTCAGATTCGTCCTCGTAATGCATACAAGTAGGTATGATAAATCACAATTTGGTGAATGCACAAAATGTGATAAAGAATGCAGTGAATATTTCAATTACATTATTAAAGTGAAACACACATTGCCATTTATTCCCCTGAAAAGACTTCCCTACCCTTCAAACATACTTATTTCATATAATTTGGTATATTTGGTATGCCGAAAGAATTGTAACTCAGTTTTCAGAGTCTATAAACATATTGTTAAGAGTTTCATAAATGTGTTTACTTCAGAATCATAATCTTGTAATCACGTAAAAAATTTATCAAACTACAAATATTTTTCATTTTGAATTAATTACAATAATATTACATTCTTTGCATATACCAATACTGAATCCTTCCAGAGCTTTCTAGAACAACAAATTCTATAAAATGTTGTGAAAAAGATCTCCATTTCGAAAAACAAAAATATATACTTTTCACTATAATCTGCACAGAAATGTTCGTCACTTAATCTCCTAATGGGTATCAGCAACCCCTATACCAACAATGTTAAATTGGACATTTTCGATGTACCTTTTCTCAAAATCTACTGTAGATACACGCTTGAAATTTTGTCTGTAATTAAAAAATACTTATTTGATTATATTGAAATGAGCTTTTGAAACATTTTGGAGTAATTTACAAAATATTTTGTTAGGCATAGTAAAGTTTAGCACTTTTCTCACAATTTTTTTTTTAATTTGTTTTTCTTAGTGTATCACAAAAAGCTCATTTCAGTAAATATTAGAAATCCTAATAAATTAGCCATAAAAAGTTTAGATACATGTGAGCAGTAGTTCCTGAGGAAAGGTACATCGAGAATAGAAAAATCACGTTTGAGAAAAACTCGTTTTTATGTAAAAATCCTCATTTATTAAAGCATTCGATGAAAAATCAAAACTAGATTTTTTTTTACAGTTCTAATTTTCTTAGAGATTAAAGAATGGTATTTTTAGAAAGATAAAAGTGTAGAGAATTTGAAAATGCATCTGTAAGTTATTAAAAATAACATATAATTTTTTTTCTAAATTGATATGTTA